AGTTTAATAATGAAATAATTTATTTTTTGTTTAATAATATATCATTTTATAAAAATAATAATTAAGTGTTCTGTTAGAACTTCATGATTATTCTAATTATATTTTAGATTTTTTATATTTAAAATAAGATGTTTCTCATGCATTTGATTATGTTTATCTGCAGTTAGTTACACGAATTCAGATATAGAGCTTTAATAGGTTGTTATTACGCACAATATACTTGTAATCTTGAGTTTTAAGTAATATGCATTAATAAATAGTATTTTATGCATAAAAAGTAAGTTTTAAGAAGTTTTTGTCAAATGCTTTATAATATAGTATATATATTTTCAAATTTATATAAAATAAAAAATTTATCATTTTTCTAAAACAATGTAAAACTATATTATATCGACCTAGATAAAAAATCAAATAAAACATTAATTAAAATATATCTCACTACATTGTATTTTTCTAGTAATATTTATTAGGGTCGGGGACCCGGGCTATTTAATCCCGGCCCAAACCTCTTGTTATAAATTTGAAGGTTCCCCGCTCGAGGATTCTGATCAGGTGTCATTATTCCCGTTGGCTAATGAGGTTTTCTTTTTCATTCGTAATGAGACAGCGCCTAACCTTGGTTATTAGCAGCATCAGAAAAGCAGTAGAAATGGGGCTTTCGCGTTTAACTGCCAAAGGGAGCGGTCTCGCTGTCTTGCTATACGCAAAAAGGAAGAAATGGCGGAGGCAAATAGAGTTTTGTTAATCTATGCTCGATACATTTCTATCGGGAAGGAATAAGGGAGAGAAAGAATCAGAAATCGATCAATTGCTATGCTGTTGTTTTCTCCTCGATTTGAAACCCTAGATTCGATTAGTTTGGTGTTATTACATTTCAGGTACCACTTGTGCGACGGTTCTCCACCGTGCAACTTAGTCTGAAGGTTGCAAGTCAGTCGTAGCTGGAATGGAATGATTCCTTGTATACCGAGGGAGGGGGAGATTCGATGGTGGTCGCGGTGGATATGGTGGTGGAACTGGGAGAAGGTACTGAGTTTGAATGATGGATCTGTAATGGTTTCTGTTAAAAATCCAGGGTTACTTGATCAATCAGACCGGAAAAATCATTCGTACCTTATCACAAATTAGAATGGGATAATCCAAATGATTACTCGAAATTAAGGACGTATAATTGAGATTTATATGACTATATCCACCGAGATTCAATGTTTCTTGCACACACACATCTCTCTCTCTCTCTACACATATATGTGAGTTGCGTTCAAACAAGAACGATACCGATTTAAGGTAATAAGAAAACGACCGAATCACATGTGATTTTACACTAACATCATGTACAAAATCAAATGTGATCTATGTTGCTATAGTGGTGAAAATACAAAATTGCTGTCAGGATCGATATTTGAAATAGCGGTAGTATAACAGTCCATATATAGCGGTTATAGCGATAGTATAACAATCCATAAATAACGGTTCATATAATATTTCTTAGAATTATATATATATATATATATACATATATATATAAATACATACATATATATATATATACATACATATACATATATATACATAGACTTGAGATCATGTGAGACCAAAGGTTTTTCGTGAGACTCGTAAGACCAATTCTCAACCCTTGGATTAGATCTATAATCTGAACATTTATAATTATAAGATTGTCACGAGACTTCTCAATAATCATAAAATTGTCACCG